CCAAATGTCATATGAAGATCAGACCTGTGCGGCTGCGGCTCTAAATCCCGCCCATAGGATCATGTGTTGACAGATCAGATTACCTGTGTGTTTTGATGTGACATAATTGAGTGCAAATGAATGGGACAGACATTTAGCACCAGGAACTGTTCATCAGAAGAGGGAGGATCAGCTCAGGGGTTTAAACTCATGATCACCACAGTTCGTTTCTCTGAGGACAGCGGCTGGATGAGGAGCATCAGACCACATTGTAAGTAGTCACCTCTTTTAAAAACAGATTGTTGTTAGCTCTACTAGTATTTTGGCATTTAATTATTTTGTAATTGTCCAGTAAACATATCTTTTTAACTATAAATTTATTTAAGGGTTAGTTAACCCCAAAATAACATTTTGGCATTAATTACTCACCCTCATGTCATACCAAACCAATAAATCTTTAGCTCACTGAACACAAATGAAAATCTTTTTATGAAATCTGACAGCTTGTGGTTTAGTCCAAAAGTTTGAAGATACTTGATCGCTTTATATGATGAAAAGATTTAGTTTAGTCTTTTATTCACTTATAAAAATTAATCAACTCACACATCAGTTGTGGTAAACGGAAGCTCAAGCATGTTCACTTGACGTGCAAATACCAATGAGGTTCATTCTCGTGTTACGCAGCAAGTTTGAACTTCAGCAAGAACCAATGAGGTTCATTCTCGTGTTACGCAGCAAGTTTGAACTTCAGCAAGAACCAATGAGGTTCATTCTCGTGTCACGCAGCACGTTTGAGCTTCTGCAAGAACCAATGAGGTTCATTCTTGTGTTACGCAGCAAGTTTGAGCTTCTGCAAGAACCAATGAGGTTCATTCTCGTGTTACGCTGCAAGTTTGAGCTTCTGCAAGAACCAATGAGGTTCATTCTCGTGTTACGCAGCAAGTTTGAACTTCAGCAAGAACCAATAAGGTTCATTCTCGTGTTACGCAGCACGTTTGAGCTTCAGCAAGAACCAATGAGGTTCATTCTCGTGTTACGCAGCAAGTTTGAACTTCAGCAAGAACCAATAAGGTTCATTCTCGTGTTACGCAGCAAGTTTGAGCTTCTGCAAGAACCAATGAGGTTCATTCTTGTGTTACGCAGCAAGTTTGAGCTTCTGCAAGAACCAATGAGGTTCATTCTTGTGTTACGCAGCAAGTTTGAGCTTCTGCAAGAACCAATGAGGTTCATTCTTGTGTTACGCTGCAAGTTTGAGCTTCTGCAAGAACCAATGAGGTTCATTCTCGTGTTACGCAGCACGTTTGAGCTTCTGCAAGAACCAATGAGATTCATTCTAGTGTTACGCAGCAAGTTTGAGCTTCTGCAAGAACCAATGAGGTTCATTCTTGTGTTACGCAGCAAGTTTGAGCTTCTGCAAGAACCAATGAGGTTCATTCTTGTGTTACGCTGCAAGTTTGAGCTTCTGCAAGAACCAATGAGGTTCATTCTCGTGTTACGCAGCACGTTTGAGCTTCTGCAAGAACCAATGAGGTTCATTCTCGTGTTACGCAGCAAGATTGAGCTTCTGCAAGAACCAATGAGGTTCATTCTCGTGTTACGCAGCACGTTTGAACTTCAGCAAGAACCAATAAGGTTCATTCTCGTGTCACGCAGCACGTTTGAGCTTCTGCAAGAACCAAAGAGGTTCATTCTTGTGTTACGCAGCAAGTTTGAGCTTCTGCAAGAACCAATGAGGTTCATTCTCGTGTTACGCAGCAAGATTGAGCTTCTGCAAGAACCAATGAGGTTCATTCTCGTGTTACGCAGCAAGATTGAGCTTCTGCAAGAACCAATGAGGTTCATTCTCGTGTTACGCAGCAAGATTGAGCTTCTGCAAGAACCAATGAGGTTCATTCTCGTGTTACGCAGCACGTTTGAGCTTCTGCAAGAACCAATGAGGTTCATTCTTGTGTTACGCAGCAAGTTTGAGCTTCTGCAAGATCCAATGAGGTTCATTCTTGTGTTACGCTGCAAGTTTGAGCTTCTGCAAGAACCAATGAGGTTCATTCTCGTGTTACGCAGCACGTTTGAGCTTCTGCAAGAACCAATGAGGTTCATTCTCGTGTTACGCAGCAAGATTGAGCTTCTGCAAGAACCAATGAGGTTCATTCTCGTGTTACGCAGCAAGTTTGAGCTTCTGCAAGAACCAATGAGGTTCATTCTTGTGTTACGCTGCAAGTTTGAGCTTCTGCAAGAACCAATGAGGTTCATTCTCGTGTTACGCAGCACGTTTGAGCTTCTGCAAGAACCAATGAGGTTCATTCTCGTGTTACGCAGCAAGATTGAGCTTCTGCAAGAACCAATGAGGTTCATTCTCGTGTTACGCAGCACGTTTGAGCTTCTGCAAGAACCAATGAGGTTCATTCTCGTGTTACGCAGCAAGATTGAGCTTCTGCAAGAACCAATGAGGTTCATTCTTGTGTTACGCAGCAAGTTTGAGCTTCTGCAAGAACCAATGAGGTTCATTCTTGTGTTACGCAGCAAGTTTGAGCTTCTGCAAGAACCAATGAGGTTCATTCTCGTGTTACGCAGCAAGATTGAGCTTCTGCAAGAACCAATGAGGTTCATTCTCGTGTTACGCAGCAAGATTGAGCTTCTGCAAGAACCAATGAGGTTCATTCTCGTGTTACGCAGCACGTTTGAGCTTCTGCAAGAACCAATGAGGTTCATTCTTGTGTTACGCTGCAAGTTTGAGCTTCTGCAAGAACCAATGAGGTTCATTCTCGTGTTACGCAGCACGTTTGAGCTTCTGCAAGAACCAATGAGGTTCATTCTCGTGTTACGCAGCAAGATTGAGCTTCTGCAAGAACCAATGAGGTTCATTCTCGTGTTACGCAGCACGTTTGAACTTCAGCAAGAACCAATAAGGTTCATTCTCGTGTTACGCAGCAAGTTTGAGCTTCTGCAAGAACCAAAGAGGTTCATTCTTGTGTTACGCAGCAAGTTTGAGCTTCTGCAAGAACCAATGAGGTTCATTCTTGTGTTACGCAGCAAGTTTGAGCTTCTGCAAGAACCAATGAGGTTCATTCTCGTGTTACGCAGCAAGATTGAGCTTCTGCAAGAACCAATGAGGTTCATTCTCGTGTTACGCAGCAAGATTGAGCTTCTGCAAGAACCAATGAGGTTCATTCTCGTGTTACGCAGCACGTTTGAGCTTCTGCAAGAACCAATGAGGTTCATTCTTGTGTTACGCAGCACGTTTGAGCTTCTGCAAGAACCAATGAGGTTCATTCTCGTGTTACGCAGCAAGATTGAGCTTCTGCAAGAACCAATGAGGTTCATTCTCGTGTTACGCAGCACGTTTGAGCTTCTGCAAGAACCAATGAGGTTCATTCTCGTGTTACGCAGCAAGTTTGAACTTCAGCAAGAACCAATGAGGTTCATTCTCGTGTTACGCAGCACGTTTGAGCTTCTGCAAGAACCAATGAGGTTCATTCTCGTGTTACGCAGCACGTTTGAGCTTCTGCAAGAACCAATGAGGTTCATTCTCGTGTTATGCAGCAAGATTGAGCTTCTGCAAGAACCAATAAGGTTCATTCTCGTGTCACGCAGCACGTTTGAACTTCAGCAAGAACCAATGAGGTTCATTCTCGTGTTACGCAGCAAGTTTGAACTTCAGCAAGAACCAATGAGGTTCATTCTCGTGTTACGCAGCACGTTTGAGCTTCTGCAAGAACCAATGAGGTTCATTCTCGTTTTACGCAGCAAGTTTGAACTTCAGCAAGAACCAATGAGGTTCATTCTCGTGTTACGCAGTAATTTGAACTTCAGCAAGAACCAATGAGGTTCATTCTCGTGTCACGCAGCACGTTTGAACTTCAGCAAGAACCAATGAGGTTCATTCTTGTGTTACGCAGCACGTTTGAGCTTCAGCAAGAACCAATGAGGTTCATTCTCGTGTTACGCAGTAATTTGAACTTCAGCAAGAACCAATGAGGTTCATTCTCGTGTTACGCAGCAAGTTTGAACTTCAGCAAAAACCAATGAGGTTCATTCTCGTGTCACGCAGCACGTTTGAGCTTCTGCAAGAACCAATGAGGTTCATTCTTGTGTTACGCAGCACGTTTGAGCTTCAGCAAGAACCAATGAGGTTCATTCTCGTGTTACGCAGCAAGTTTGAACTTCAGCAAGAACCAATGAGGTTCATTCTCGTGTTACGCAGCAAGTTTGAACTTCAGCAAGAACCAATGAGGTTCATTCTCGTGTCACGCAGCACGTTTGAGCTTCTGCAAGAACCAATGAGGTTCATTCTCGTGTTACGCAGCAAGTTTGAACTTCAGCAAGAACCAATGAGGTTCATTCTCGTGTCACGCAGCACGTTTGAGCTTCTGCAAGAACCAATGAGGTTCATTCTCGTGTTACGCAGCAAGTTTGAACTTCAGCAAGAACCAATGAGGTTCATTCTCGTGTCACGCAGCACGTTTGAGCTTCTGCAAGAACCAATGAGGTTCATTCTCGTGTTACGCAGCAAGTTTGAACTTCAGCAAGAACCAATGAGGTTCATTCTCGTGTTACGCATCACGTTTGAGCTTCTGCAAGAACCAATGCAGTTTGTTCTTGCGCATCAAGCAGGTTTGGTTGACCTTCTTTTTATGTTCACTGATCAACGTTTATATGTGAATAAAAGCCTAAATTCAATCTGTTCATCACAGCGACCAAGTCTGTTTAGAAAATTTAAACCAAACCACTCAATTCATATTATATTGTTTAAAAATAGAATGAAGTCATCAAAACAGTCCTGAATCAGGGTTCAGAGTGTTTTGATGACTTCATTCTATGGTTAAACAATATGGTTAACAATGTGGATCCTTTTCTTCTTTCATGGCATCTCGTTGGATAGATGCACATCTGTTTATCATTGCTGAGGTATTCAATGCCAAGTAGAGAACAAGAACAGTCTCTGAAATACTATTAATTTTAGGACATCTACTTTGCATGATGTGCGCTCTTTAACAATGTTTTGTATGTTTTCCTTCTGCAAGAACAACTATGGCGAACCACGTTTACTACGGCTCGAGTAACAGCTCAAGTGACAACTGCACCGAAGTGGACAATCTCATGAAGCGCTATTACCTGCCCGCCACATACGGTGCGATCTTCATCGTGGGCGCTGTGGGAAACATCATAGCTCTGCTGGTCTACGTGCTCAAAGTTCGTCCCTGGAAGAGCAGCACCATCATTATGGTGAACCTCGTCATTACTGACCTTCTCTTTATGGCCAGCTTGCCCTTCTTGATCTACTACTATGTCCTCAATGACACCTGGACGCTGGGGGTCACCATGTGCCGCTTTGCGCGATTCATGTTCCACTTCAACCTCTATGGCAGCATCCTCTTCCTCACCTGTCTGGCCATCTTCCGGTACGTGGCGATTGTGCATCCGTTGCACATGCAGAGCATCAAGCAGAAGCGATGGGGCGTGTTGGCTTGCGTCTTGGTTTGGGTCGTGACAATAGGCGAGTTAAGTCCGATTTTTAACATGTTTGACACAGTTCCAACGGACAATAAGACATACTGCTTGGACTTTGCAAGCAACAACTCAACAATCGTCTGGCCATATAGTTGGGCTTTGACTGTCCTGGGATATTTGCTTCCTCTGGTCGTGGTCTGTCTTTGCTATTGGCGCATCATTAGAGTGCTAAAGAAGGGTCCTCATATGGGAAGCAAGAGACGAGTTAAAGCAAGGCGACTCATCGCGTTGATATTGACGTGCTTTGTTGTTTGCTTTCTTCCCTTTCACGTGCTACGAGCTCTGAGAATACACACGAAACTCACTCCGGAAACCCACTGCATGCTCGACCGTGGCGTTCACGCCTCCTACATTATTTCGAGGCCGATCGCTGTAATCAACGTCATTTTCAACCTGCTGCTCTACACGTTGTCGAGGGACTTTAAGCAGGCCTTCATGGATCTGTTTAAATGTGACCAGCTTATGTCGAAGACTAAGAAGATCATTAAAGTGGCTGTGATCAACAAACCTACGACCAATACCACATGTGAGCAAAGCAGCTGAAACTCAAGCCACTGTTTCAGTCTTACGAGCCACAGTCAATGTCACTGTGAAATAACCAATATATGAAGGGATACTCCACCTAAAAATGAACGTTCGGTCATCATTTACTCACTCTTATGTCTTTCCAAACCTGTATGACTTTCTTACGTTTGTGGAATATAATTATGATACTGAAATATCTGAAACACTTCCAATACTCATTTTCCATATAGCCTAATAGATACACAATACCAGTTGCGCTTTCTCTCTCTCTCATCTCTCCGACAGCGAGTTACACACAAACCCACCTGCTCTCACTCGTTTCATTTGCTCCGGATGAATATTGTTGGTGTTACAGGACTTGAATTTCAGCATGGGATTGTGCATAATTGTACTCGTTCCCGCAGATTTTGTGCTCACACCCAAAGTGCGCGCGCATAAAGCTGCCTCTCAGTACTAAATTGAGTTCTTTTTCACTGCTTTTTGTGCTTAAATACACACAAAATGATGTCAAAATGTCGGTCTTGGCGAGTATTCATGTAAACACAGTTACAGTGGATGTAAAATGTTGAGAAAGAAAACACATGTTTAACAGTATGGACCCATGTGTCAGGTCTTAAAGTGACAGCAGCCTAATATACCTGCTGCTGAATTGTATAGTATTGAAAATGTAGCTCAACCAGAGCCTAGTGCTGCTATCAATGCCAAGGTCATGGGTTTGATTCCCAGCAAATGCATCATGAAACGTCATGACGTCTCACAAATGCATGAACATAAATGTGCATGTAACCAACCCAAGGCCATTTCATGACATCCCACCCATGTCGCCATCAGCATGTCAATACCCTATGTGCGCCACAATGGTCATAAAATGGCCCTGATGTAAACAAAACAATGATGCTTATCTTTTGCAATGTTCCTGTGCATCTATGTTTGTGGCAGCTGTATGTCTGTGTTTATTCATTGTGTGCTTGCTTTCCTTCATAAACCTTGACTTTATGATGATGGTGTAGTATAATCTGTTTGCCGTACAAGATTAACAGCAGTAAAAGTACTTAAAAAGACATTTGCATTGTTTACTTTTTGGTATGTACAGAGTATAACATTTGGTCCCACTTTATTTTAAGTGGCTTTAAGTGCAATGTACTTACATTGAAATTAATAATTTGATACAATGAACTTATTGTGTACATACATACATGTTTTTACATTGTACTTTTGAAAATACCTGCATGTAATTACAGATGTAATTAATTTATGTATAATTACACTGTTGACCTTTCCCTTACACCTTAACCCACCCTTATACCGAGCCATATCACACACACCTGACCCTAACCGTACCAGTATCACACCTCAATAGCAGCAAAATTGTTTTACAATACAACATGAACACAATAAGTACATTGTACTTTGCCCACACATTGGGTGGGTATCAAAGGACCTGCCTTAGAATGGTTTAAGTCTTATCTGTCAAATAGGAAGTTTAGTGTTAATATTGGGGAATATTCTGCTTTTCTGTCTTGTGGTGTTCCGCAGGGATCCATTTTAGGTCCAATTCTTTTTTCGCTATATATGCTTTCATTAGGGTCTATTTTCAGGAAACAACAGGGGTTGTCGTTCCACTTCTATGCGGATGACCCTCAAGTTTATTTACCCCTAAAACCAAATTGTGATGGACTGGAAAAAATTGGGGCCTGCATATCTGATGGGAAAGCTTGGTTATCTCAAAATGTTCTTCATTTTAATTGAAATTATAGTGTTTGGCTCATCTAATCCTCTTAGTCAAATAACCCTAGGTAATTTAACACTCTTGGGTAAAGATCTTGGGTGTTGTTTTTGATGATGGTCTGAAATTTGACAAGCAGATAAGCTCAGTGGTCAAATCCTGCTTTTTCCAGCTCCGTCTTTTAGCCAGAGTAAAACCAATTTTATCTTTTAATAACTTTGAAAGACTAATTCATGCATTGAGGCTAGACTATTGCAACTCACTGTATTACGGGATCAGCCAATCAGCTTTATCCCGGTTACAGATGGTACAAAATGCGGCGGGAAGACTTCTAACAGGTAATAGAAAAAGGGACCATATTACTCCAGTGCTATACGTCATTTGCATTGGTTGCCTGTACGATACCGTGTTGATTTTAAAATTCTTTTGGTTTTTAAATCCTTAAATGGTTTGGCCCCTCCTTACCTCTCGGATTTACTGACAGAGCATCGTCCAGTTATGTCTCTCCGGTCGTCAAATCAGAGATTATTATGTATACCGAAATCAAAGTTGAAAAGTATGGGGTGACCGCGCATTTTCAGCTCCCAGATTGTAGAATGCGTAACCCTTTTAGTATTAGATTTGCTCCATCCTTGTCTGTTTTTAAATCTAGGCTAAAAACCTTTCTTTTTGATTTAGCATATGGTTAAGGATGAAATGTATTGCATTTTTATTGTGTTTTTATTTGTCTTTTGTATTGATGTAAAGCACACTGGTCAACTGGTGTTGTGTTTAGTAGTGCTATAGAAATAAAATTGACATTGTACTTATTTTTTGATTGTACTTAAAGCCACTTAATATAAAGTGCGACCGAACATTTCGTTCAGAGGTACATATAACTGTGTTTGAATAATATCTGCATGGCACAATTGACTCTGCAGAGTGAAACTCAAACTTCCAAACATTTTATTCAGAACATTCACTGTAAAAAATATTTTAGCAATTTAGTTATTTCAACTTATTTTTTTTTGTGTAGAGATAACTAGATTGTCCAGACAACAAGAAATTTTAAGTTTTCTTGTCCTCAACTTATCGAAATAAGTTAGTTAAACTAAAAAAAAAAACATGCAAAAAGATAACACAAAATAATGAGTTAAGTTTGTTTACAGTGTTCTTACTTTCAGTTGCTCGATTAATAGTCTTTGTTTTACATAACCTTATGGAAACTGACTCATTCATATGGTCTAAATGGAGAAACTGGTTAAACAAATTCATCAGAAAAATAGTTCTTGGATAACAGTGCGTTCTACTGAATTCCATCTGATGTTTAGATGCACTGTTTTACAGTAAAGGAAGAGGAAATGTGAAGCCTCCATCAAAACCCAATTCAGATGCAAATCAGGGAATTTTCAAGAGATTTTTCACAGTTCACACATTATACGGAAGATGTCTAAATCAAATGTTTAACACCAGCACGTAATTGTTTTTTTGTGTGTACTTTTTTACTTTTTTTTTGTTATTTACGTGAATTTAAGTCACCACTTTAGTGGAAGGGATTTATGTAATGAAATTAGATTAGATGAAGTTCCTCATTGACTTTACCTTGTATTATCTCATGAATCATCTCAGATCATCAGTTCACACACGAGGAAACACCTCTTATTGACTGGACGAAAAGGAAGCAGCAGCTTCTGCATATTTGTTGTAAATAAACACTTGTTTAGTCTCCAAGGTGATTTAATCTAAGAACAAAATGAAACGGGATTTTCCAAGTTTTCCGGTTAACTGAATGAGAAGTCCACATCAGTGAAATGAAAGAGATCTTCTCTAGATCTGCAGTGCAAATTGCAGTTAAGAGTTTGATGGTTTGTGGATCATGATGACTTTAGTTTATATGCATGGAGACATTCCTCTGTCCACAATCTGCGTCTCAGTGTAGACAAGTTTTATATAGTAACCAGTGACAGCTAAATATACAATTATGCAACATCACAAAAAGCAAAAGTTTCTGTGATGCTGCATATAGCGTGAGTCATTGACATCACAAAAACAACTGTTTCTCAATCCACCTTTGAATGAGGTGAGAATAGAGACGTCTTTCTTTCTTGAACCAACCCCATGAGGACATTTCTCTTTCACAACTCAGAATACATTCCCCCGGTTCCACAGACGGCCATAAAGTGCGTATCATATGCACGCAAAAACAATTTTTGGCGTATAAATGGTTTAGATATGCACTTTCATGAGACTGTGTTGGTTTGAATATATGGCATGTAGTCCTTCCCTAAAAAACCAACCCTCAACAAACTACTTGTCTGGCCTTAAAATTTATAATACAGAATTTTATCTGATTAAACCAGGATTAGGCCTTAGTTAAAGTAGGGCATTTAAGTAGCTTTTTATAAACATTCCTTTAAAAAAAGACAAAACAATGGCACGAGAAATAACATTCGTTGTATAGATACGCACTTTCATGAGATTCAAACGCGCATGAACTCTTAATACGTGTGTGCGCCATCAGCGTTCTCACAGGTTCGCGTTTTTAAAGTTTGCATAGAGTGAACTTAAGAGTTTTCAGTTTGAACGGTGTCGTGTTAGCGGCCCCTAAGTTAATAATGACTAGTTTACATGCAGCCAATAAACAGTTCAAAACCGGGATATTAGCAATAACCCGGTCGCGAACGGCCATGTAAACACCGGCAAAAACCCGAATATGCTCATATCCCGGATTTTAAAAACCGGGATATTATACCTGGGGTACCCCTTTTCTAACCCGAATTTTTGGTCATGTAAACGCGCATCGGCATATCCCCATAATGATGTGTGTTCTGCGCATGTTCTATTCGCAAGGAATCTTGGTCTTTTGAGTAGAGAAACTTCTCGGCGCATACAAAAACCCGCGTGCAGTATACCGGAAGTAAACATGGCGAGACGCAGCACAGCATACTTTTGGAGCGAGGTCAGTAACGTTACCAGCACCAAAGCGCAAACAAAGGCGATCGCTATCTGCCCCGAACTATTCATTATCCGCGTGCTGCTGTTGTTGTTGTCTTTGGATACAGGAAGAAGAATCGGAAATGACGCATATTGCGTCTTAAGGTTGTCCGTACGTCCAGACGCTAACCGCGTGTCGCGTTTACATCGGGATATTGCAATTCCATGTATACAGGAGTAACTCTCTCTGCTCACGCATGTAAACGGGTTATCCCTAATGTTTCAGAAACCCGAATAGTGACCTTAACCCGACCATAACCCGAAATTTGGCTGCATGTAAACGTAGTCAACTGATCGTTGCGACAGAAGTGAATCAATCAAAACTAACTTTAGCTGGAAAATAACTTTATTCTAGAGCTGCTGTAAAGCCTAAACAATCTGTTAGGCTACTTTAATCTGCTATTATCACTGTAAAGCCACAATCCACATTGTTAAAAGCGCTGTATAAATGAAGATGACTTGACTTGACTAATCTAAACCCTGTCTGTGAAACCAGGCCATTGTGATATAGCCTACTACATTGA